TTGCTATGATTTCATGTGAACTGCTATATTGATGTTATAACCCTGTTTAGCCGGGCCCGTGGCTAGGGAAGGTATTCCCCTGTGTATCGCATTGCCTTAATTTTCATATGCTGCTTTTATACCGGATTGTATGAATCTACTGAAAAATCTAATAAAAATTGATTCAACCCTAAAATATATCTAAGGTCATTTAATTTTTGTACTTTAAATAGAGTTGGGAATTTTGTTTGCAATTGATGTCACTTTTGAGAAATTTCCTTCACTTATTGTCCTGTAGACTACACGGTACATGAGAGGAAATCTATCCAAAGTGAGATAGATCCTCTCTTAGACAGTTGTCACCAAGACATGTGTACCTATTGAAATATTTCCCCTCTATTGCTGTTCCCATCGATTTTAGTCCTTTCATCACTTCTAATCACTCTATCAAAAACTATAAAAAAACTATTTGGCTTTATCTTGTACAGTGCAAGTAAGAGAGGAACTACAATGTGTTACAGTTTCACTTAGATTATATACCCGGGAAATAGGTAATACAAAAGCAACCATATGGGCATATTTAAATAATTCTTACTTACCATGAACAACAAGAACCCTGCATTTAACGCTGATAGAACACCTCTGTAACCCAACCCACCAGATGCAAGTGACCAGTGACCAGATTCTTGGTTTGCTGGCTCTGACAACACCCTCTTCACTGATCACTGTGATGGGTATCCGGCCAATAATAAGGCACATGGGGCAGGAACGGGAGGGTCCAGGCACCAGGAAATGTGTTGGTACTCTCATTAGCAGTTTTTGGGTGTACAGGGGAATTATGCCGGGAGGTTCCTGCTACTCAATATATTTTTTTTAAAGGGTACATTTATTGTAAGTATTCTCCAATGCATGTTAACTATTTAGCTCCCAGGCACTGTTTTATAAGGTGCACAAAAACATTTCTATTCCCAGACTTGATTTAAAATGGTGCTTAGCTTCACTGGCTGCATGCAGTCCTTGTGGGTTCAGTGGTGGAATTACCTGTTGCCAGCAGCAGCTGAGGTACTCTGCTATTTTCAGAATCTGAACCAATGAGCTTGTTAGCTTCTTATTCTGTTTAATAGCATTCCCATTGATCCCTCTGTAAGCATTGTGTAATCACATTGCTTCTGTATTGTGGCTACAAGTGAAATCCCATGACATCATGTTTGACTTCATTTGGGAGCTTCTGTGAGCTCAGGAAGCCACAATGGACCAGGGCTGAGATTTTTCACTTGTGTGTGTTGCCATGTAATGTTAATTGCAAAACACAGCTCCGAAATTAAAAGAACTTTGAATTTAAGTTTTATCACTGTCCTATACAATGTAAAAATCACTACAATAATCTCACACGATCCACGCTCCTAATCCTCAAACAATAACCCTCAACAGCAGCTGTGCAAAAAGACCCAAATAGCCTTTCCAATAATTTCTAGATAAAGTGCTCAGTACTAGTGACAATATTCTTTTGTTTAAAAATACATCAAATAAAATAATTGTGCAATGTCTCTGATAAAGCAATGTCTTAGCTGCCAACGCTGCTACTAATTAAGAGGCAGGATAATTAAGATAATTAAGAGGCAACCGCTTAGCGTTGTCAGCCTGAAACAGCAAGTGATGTTTCTTGTGGGATCTCCAGGTGTACATGAGGAGGAGGAGGAGGAGGAGAGCAGGAGATGGAAAATTTGAATAGATGGATGAATAAACCAACAAAAATTAACTGCACTTAAAGGGTTATTAAACCATCAGCTTTTTTTGCATATATCTACTGCTAGCAAGCAGTAGATATATGCAAAAAGTTGTTTTTTTTTTAAACCCCGCTTTAACAGCGGTTTAAACTTACCTGTGTGTTCCATGCGCGCTCCCGTCCGAAAATGTGAAACTGCATGGATGGCCGCAAAGCATCTTGGGGCGGGCGCAAAAGCAGTTCACATTTTCGGCCGGGACACAGGGAAAGACACAAAGTAAGTCTATGGGCGCGTGCACACGCATGCAGACACCATGGGAGAGTACATGCCAGCAAGCTCAGAGAAGTCAGCACTGGATCGGAGATTCGTCGCATCGCTGGAGAGAAGGCTGAAAACTACAGGAAAGAAGAAGATGATCGGATTAAAAGACATAATTTAAGGTAAGTGCTTTAATTAACGTTGGGGTGAGGGAAAATATTTTTTGCCTTTAATGTCACTTTAAAGGAGAACTATGCGGTGAGTGATTTCCACTCATCCTCATGGTTAGAGCCGACCTGTGGCAAAGAAGCTGCCACAGGTCAGCTCTATTGATCGGGAAGTGAGCAGAAACATGCCACCAATCTGCTCACTTCCTGATCATTTCCCTGCAGTGAGCAGTGACTGTCAGTCACCGCTCCCTGCAGGGATTCCCCCCTCTCCGATCCTCCAGCGCTAAATGGAGGAAATGACAGGGGAGGGGGCAGGCACAGCTGGCTCTGCCTCTAAATAGGCAGAGCCAGCTGTCACTTACGCTGCCCAGTGGATCTCAACAGTATTGTCTGGGTCTGTCCCGACTGCGGCACTCTCAGTATATCGTGGGCAATAGCCCGCAATATACTCAGTTTTGGGTCATGGGAGGAGGTTAGTATATGTCCTCCCGTGACTCTAAAAAGAACTATGGGGAAAAAAACTTACCCCATAGTTCTCTTTTAAGTGCTGTTAGACCATTTATCCTAATGGTCCACCTGATCTGGTGAATGCATTTTTTAATCACTGGCGGAAGGACACAGACGGGAGGACTCATCACTGTGAAAATATATTTATTGACATTGTACAATTATTTGATATAAAACTGCATGCACAATTTTTTTTGCAATCGCACAGCACTGGAACTCACGGCATTGAGGAATGACAGTGCTGGTGATTGCGCGGGAGGCGTGTTTGGGGTGCCATTGAAATTAATGGCACTGCAACACACCTTCTGCAGCTTCATTTGTCAGGCTGGAACCAAAAATTACTATTTTTTCCCCACCTTTTTTAAGGTTTTTTTTTAATAATTGGGGGAGGGCCGCTTTATTTCTTTTAAGCTTTTTTTTTTTGCTATTTTTAAAATAATTTTAAAATATTTTTTTAAACTGCTTACTGCTCTCTCCTGCCCGCTGGGTGCAGGTAGGTGGGTCGGCTCTGTGTCCCCTCCGATCCCATCTGCCAAAACAGGCGGGGAGAGCAGCAGGGATCAGAGGGGACACAGATTGCAACATGCAGCAGGCTCCCAGCGGGGAGGAGAAAGCTGCAGAGCAGGGGCATGGGGGGAGGATTGGGGGAGCTCTCCTCACCACTGGGCACTGGCTGCAAAGGTCTGTGTCCCCTCCAATCCCCGCTGATAACAGGGGGAATCATTGGGGACACAGAGCCAATGAAACAGTGGCTCCAAGCATGGAAGACAGGAGCAGGGGATCCAGACCAGATAATCGATACAGAGCACAACAATTCTCATTTTCGAATATTATCGATCAAATTGATTAGTATCAGCCCTACATACCACTCAGAGACAGAAACTGAAACAAAATTATTAGTAGGTTATTCTTTTCAAGATGTAAAACTTTGCTTGGTAAAACAAAGGTGTAGACAAAGATTCAGGTCAATTTTCATTCCTTATTATAGAAAGTGACCTAGCGCGTTTTTTCTGTTCAGGCCAGCATTGCCCTCTCCCAGTAATGATATGACATAATTGTGTGTCCAGCAATGTCATTTAATGGCACACTACACTCTTGCAGTGAAAGGTTGGAAATAACTTATCAGAGACTTGTTCAGGGCAAGGTTAGCATGTTAGTCCTGATTAAAAAAAATAATAACTATAGTCCAATAATAGCCTTAACCTTGAGCCTGAAGTCCATTGCGTATCCATAGCCCTGCATACCTGCATTAACCTTATTATTATTCCCTTAAACAGTCTAGTGGGAGTTACTGTGAGTCTTTGTTAGGATTCTGTAGGTTTGGTGGTATATATTTTATATATTTTATATAAGAAGGAACATTTTTTCAAACCCTTATACTTCCAGGAATTAAATATACAGTATGCAGATGTACCTTTTTCCATATGGTAAAATGTTGCTGTACTTTCTATCCTAATGATTGTAAAGTAATGCTGCTGCGGGGAATCTCATTACTTAGGCTTCTATTGTTAACATGTCCACCTTATATGCAGCTGAAAACTGAACTGTTCTTATTTTAATAGATTTTTTTGGAACCTGTCTGTGTTATAATAATAGACAGATAAATGAGTTCAGGTGTTTGTACTGAAGGGTATAGTCAATGCTACAGCATGCAAAGGCATTTTTAGACAATTGTGCACTTCCAACATTGTCGCAACCGTTTTGGAAGGCCCATTTCTATTCCAGTATGACTTTCCCCTTTCCACAGATTTGGATCCATAAAGACATGGTTTGACAAGAACTCATGTGGTCTACACAGAGCCCTAACTTCAACCCTACTAAACACCTTTGAGCTTACTTATAACACTGATTGAGAGACTGGTATCTAGTCCAACATTGGTCTACACATAGCCCTGACATCAACCCTACTAAACACCTTTGAGCTTACTTATAACACTGACTGAGAGACTGGTATCTAGTCCAACATTGGTCTACACAGAGCCCTGACTTCAACCCTACTAAACACCTTTGAGCTTACTTATAACACTGACTGAGAGACTGGTATCTAGTCCAACATTACAGTACCTGACCTTACAAATGCTCTTTTGACTAAATGGGTACAATTTCCCACAGACACACCCTAAAAACTTGTGGAAAGACTTTCCAGAAGAGTGGAGGCTGCAAAGGTATGGGGGACTCCATATTAATGAAGATGGTTTTGGAATGGTCTGTCCATCAAGCTTATATAGCTGTGGTGGTCAGGTGTCCACAAACGTTTGGCCTTATATTGTACACATCTGTACCAGAGGCTTTTATCTTTTTAGAGTGTTCCTCTTTATTTTTAGAACCAACTTCACAAGATATATATTTTCTATTCAAGGTGGAATTCCCTTTGTCCTGGTTGGCGAATTTTTTCAGCAATCTCAGCGTCCTGCAGCCTTTATGATCGCAGGCACAGTCAACTGGATCAGCAACTTCGCTGTTGGACTTCTTTTTCCTTTAATCCGGGTAAATATTATAAATCAGTAACTACTAAAAGCAGAGAAGTAATATTTTATGGACCCCTATTTGCATAGACACAACGTTAATGTCATAGTAGTCACTCTACCAGTTATGCACATGTAGACACATTCCTGACTCTGTATTACCACAAATCACAATATGTTTCTGTCTAGTTGGCAGAAACTCCAATGTTCATTTCCTTTCAGAACTGTAGTGTCTATTTGATACTTATACCATATCAGATACCTGGTTCCCTGCTGTGTGCTGTGGTTCCTCCTGCTGGTACTGTCTCATGTAGGGACGTAGATGCTAGTGAAAGGGACCATAGCACACAGCAGGTATCTGACACCCCAGCAAGTATTGGATTCCAGCAGCAGCCATAGCTGCTTTGCAAGCGAGTAAAGATTGGCGTTGTGACTTGCTGAAGAGGTAAGTATTCTTCTTATACAGGGTACCTTTAGTTTTAGGTTTGTGAGTTAGTGACAGTATCACTTTAACAATGCTAATATTAGCTTAGCACCTTAAAGTTTAGTCCAATATAAGTGCAACACCACCTTGTGGCAAAAAAATATTTAGGGTTCTATTCACAAAGCTGCCAAAGGATTTAGCTGATCCTTCAGCTAGCTTCGACCCCAGGACCCCGTCGATTCAGTAGAACCGAAGGGCTGCTGTACGGGCTATTCAGCCGAGGTAAAAGCTGAAGCTGGCCGACAGCCTGCTACTGACTGCTGGGCGGAGCCAGCCGTCATCTCAGCCTTTTTATTATACAAATATTAAACATGACAGAACTGTCAAATTAAGCATGAGGTTTCAGGGTCTTTTTGAAGGCCAAAAAACTTATTAACAGATATGCTGTCTCTGCGGAAAAACTCCTTGAAACTGTTAGGCCCCCAGCCGCCCCATACTGCCTCAGGGACAACCTGCACATTCACCGCAGACACATCCATATCTAAATCATCTGTTCGACTACTATAAATCACCATGACTTGAGGACCCATACCAAGACAGGTCCCCAAATGTTATCCACCAGACCTAATTTTTTTGCCTTCAAAAGACCCCAAACTACCAACACTGCTATGATAGAAAAACAGACCACAAACAGACAATACCAGGGCGGGTGGGCGAGAAGTTCTCTCTTCATCCAACGATCTTCGACTAAAGCCAAGGAGACCCTCCTCCTCAGACCACCACAACGGCTCTGCCGAAACCTTGAACTTTGTCTCCCCTTTTCACTTAGTCATGTAAGCCCTCCACCTTTTTTTTTTTTTTGCTTTGGGCCTAACTTTCATATGATGTTTTTATGCTGTTGTATGTCTCTTGCTACCTAAATACTTGATTTAAAAAGCACTGTATTGGAATCTGTGTGCTGATAAACTGCCTTGGTAGAGTCATCTCCTTCCTTTGCATGAATTATTTATCAAGGAAATAGAAATATGACTGATATGCTAAAATGACAAGCTCTGCACAGACCTTAACCTTCAGTCTGAAACGTTTTTCATATAATTGATCAGTCTACATAAAAATATGTTTGTGATGTCTCCAGTACAGAAATCTGGAATAATTTGAAGTTCAGTATGCTAAGATAATTGCAAAATATTCTGTAGACAGGTTTTTGTTAAACAAAGCAGGTATTTCAAACTACATATAAGTGAAAAACACATGGTATACTCATCAGACATAGGCATACAGATTATACACCGGACTAAAGCACAGCCAGCCTGCCCATGACCAGTCACTTATTGTAAGCCAGGTCTCTGGTGTACTCTTTGGTGTGTATTCTGTTGCCCAAATCTCATACTTTTTTATATTCACTGAATGCTGTCATAAGGAATATTGTCTGCCCTTGGTGCATGCACCAAATACAATACGGATATGTGTGGACCTTGCCGTCCTGGCCATTGCCAAAGCCCCCTTTTCCAACTTGACTCCACTGCACAGAAGGGCACTTACCTTGCTTAGTTATGCTATGGGGTCACCAGAATCTCCCACTACTATGTATATACTATGTGTATAAAGGAGCTGGAAAAGAGAGCCTTTCAGGGGAATACAACCAAGTAATTGCTCCAGGTATGTGGATGATATGTGTGTCAAGATTAGAACATCAGAAATACAAGCTTTTAGTGATCACTTAAATGTAGCATACAAAATCATTACGTTTATATGAGAAGAAGCACAGAATACCATATTACCCTTTTTGGACCCTTTTGTGTGTTACATGTCAATGAGGGGGTGATATTGAGGTCTACAGAAAATCTACCCACACAGACCAGTATCCGCTTTTTTGACCCACTGGAACACACACTGGAGGTTATTATAACCTCCAGCCGAGATGGTAATGACAAACACAGAGTCAAAAGACAAAGAACACAGACATCTCAGGAGTGCTTTGTTCACATCTGAGAGTTTTCATGCGTGATCGCAGTGCGTTTGCGGAATTGCGCACAAATGCAAAACATCATTGTGGTGCCATTCGTTTCTAATGGCATCCCAAATGTGGCCCAAAAATTGTGCGTTCTTCCATGTGTACAAACACTGTAGAAAATCTGCAATCCACGCATCGCACAAAAAAGTGCAGCAGCCTTTGTGCTGCATTTGACGCCTGGATATAACTCCACTTAAATCAAAACGCGGTGCACAACCGTACACAAACGCGCGTGCCCGGGAACGCACAAATGTGAACCAGGCCTGAAAGTTTGTGGCTACCAATACTGAGCATCATAAAAGGTTATCAATAACATGGCACCATTGAACAGAGGGGAGAAACAGAACATGGTCTAACATATGAGGGCAAGTTCTACAGCTCAGGATTCAGTAGTTTCATATACAGGAAGGAATATACTTTTGAGGACAGTGTTTTGCATATTTTGGACAGGGAGACGACTAGTTTGCAAGTGGTGTGAAAAAGGCCTTTGACACATATAATGCAATTTCAATATCTCTACCCTGATGATCTGACAACAATTCACACATTCAGTCATGTAAATTAAAGAAATAACACTTATATAGCCTTACACCAAAGGATGGGATTATGTATTCAGAACAGGGTGGTTCCAAAACCTTCACACCTACCACCCTGTTTCTGGACAAACAATATCTGCATGACTGGATTAAGATGCCTTTGCTACCTGTGTGAATATATATGCTGGGTTATTTTTCTGACATTCATTAGAAATAAAGAATATTAAAATAGCAAATCCTATTAAAAGTGACTAACTACTACTTGCTATACTCAAGAATTGTTCCTCCAGTTATGAATGCATGAGGCACACGGCACTGAAAAAACCTTAAAGTGCACCTGTGCCAGACTATGGACATTGAACTATTTACATATACTTAAAGGAGAATTATGGGGTGAGTGAAAAACACTCATCCCCATAATTCAAGCTGACCTGTGACTGTGAAACTGTCACACCTCGGCTCTATTGATCGGGAAGTCAGCAAACAGATATCGCCGATCGCTGACTTCCCGATTCTCTCCCTACAGAGACTGTCAGTCACAGCTCCCCGCAGGGATTTCCTCCCCTCTCCATTTCTCTAGCTCTGACTGAAGTATGGGATGGGGAGGGGGGCGGGCACAGCTGGCTCTGCTTCTAGAGAGGCAGAGCCAGCTGTCATTCAGCCAGCAGGGTGAATCTCGACAGTATTTTTAGGATCCATCCTGGGCTGAGGTGCGGTTCTGCACTCTACTGTGTTTTGGGTCACCGGAGGACATTAGCATATGTCCTCCTGTGACCCTGAAGAGATCTGTGGCCAAAAATGGTTAGGCCATAGTTCTCCTTTAACAAGCAGTAAGGGAGCTTTAAAACAAGCCTTCACTTACATTGATGCATTTAATGTGAAGATATCTATTCTCACAAATATTTAAAGATATCAACAAAGACTCAAGTCGGGATTCAGTTGATTTCTAATAGCTTAGAAACATCTGCTGTGTGTTTATTTGAGAAGGCATGCATGCCGCTAAGATTTTCTCTCCTACAAAAAGCTGAGCTTGTAATGCTTGTGTTGTGAAGTTTGCCATTTTAATTTTCTCCACGATATAGGTACAGAGCTGAATAAGGGATTGTTTTAAAGTGCTTTTACTGCTTGTTCAGAATATGTAAATACTGTAGTGTGCATGATTTCAGAACAGGATCATTTTAAGCCTCGCTAACACATATTATCCCGGTTACAAATATCTGTTCATTACCTGTACAGTGGGAGATATGTATACTGCAATGGCTCATCTTGCCTAAAAATGACAGTTGCTGGGCTGTCAAGCTAATTCGGTAGCTTCAGTGTTCTCTAAGGCCTGGTTCACACCTGGGCGTTTTACAGTGCTGATCGACGCGCTTTGAAACGCCCAGCAAGTGAAATCCCATTATTTCCTATGGGCATGGTTCCCACCTGGGCGTATTTCAGCGCGTAGGAACGCACTGAAAAACGCCCTACGCCCAAAGAAGTACAGGAGCTTCTTTGGGGCGTATTTTCCGCGCATATCCATTAGGATGCAGCTGGGTCGCCCTCATAAACGCGTGTTTGTCGTGCGTTTCGTTGACCGCAAATCGCTGTAAAAACTTGCGTCAAACGCGCATATTACGAACGCCCAAGTGTGAACCCAGCCTTAATCACTGATCTGGAATTCATATGTAGATCAAGAGTTCAAAGTTTACTGTGACTTCAAATCCACTTAGTTCACAGGTCATATTGTGAGCTTTCCACTGTTTTTACCATATTGATGTTGTAGAGGGGCAGCTGTTGAGCCCCCATTGTGATATTCTCTGATAAGATAAACTTGAGCTTTTGGCACTGAAGGATAACCGGGGAAGCACTTTTTCCCGGATTGTTAGTCTTTTATTTTTACTTTATTATTATTATTATACAGGATTTATATAAAGCGCCAACAGTTTTTGCAGCGCTTTACAATATAAGGAAGACACTACAGTTACAATACAAGTCAAGACAGGATGGAAAGGAGGGCCTTTTACTTATATTTATCCATCCCAGCAAGACTGGTAACATAGCCTTGC